CGGTATCGGTTATCGGCTACATGAGTTTTAAAATATCGGCATATCGGATATCGGCCAAAATCCCAATATCAGCATCCCTAGAAAATACATAAGTGAATCAAATAAGCAGTCAAATATCAGCTTATCTTCGTTCTCCAAAGATGTTTGTTTCAAGAAAGATTTCACTAATCTTTCCTCTTTTTGTGTCAATGTAGCCCTGAAACCAACATTTTATTTAACTTTTTAATGTTTTGCATTTCTAGGATTTCTACATGGTTAAAAATATTTTGATTTGAAAAAAATAAACAATATATCACAAAATGTGTTTTAATTACATTTTCATGGGTCCCCCCCTGGTTATTCTGGGGCCTTTAGCAGTCATAAATGGATATTTTAAATACAAAAAAAAATCTTCAATAAAGTTTATATTCTAGGTGTCTTAAACATGTTACATCACACAGGAATTCAAGTGAATTTTAGAGATGTTGCATCTTTAGACTTTGCATCTTCACCTTAAGTCTTGATTACATAATTTCTGAGGTTATTGTGCAGGATTATGTATGTAGGTGTGTATTAACATTGCACAGGGCTTAATGAATTAAAAACCCTTTCTGCCTGCAAAACTGTCTGATTTTATTATAACATTATCTTAATTATAAGGCGAAGCTATGAAAGTAAAGCTAATATCACTACATTTACAGCATGTTTTATTAGTGCACTGAGGCTAACTTTACCCTAATGCCCTCCAGGTTTCAAAATGGGACCGTCCCCTTCTTTGTCCTACATCTGTCACCTTTAATCTACAAGACGGAGCATCCTCTAACTCCAGCGCAGACCTGCTGCCTGTTGGCTACCAGCTTTCTGACTTTTCTTAGAAACCTGCTTTGTGTGCTTCTTTTCTAGTCAGATATTTATCACAGTTCATGCGTCCAACCTACAGGGCATAAGAAATTCTCTCTAAAATAGGAATCTTAAACAGATTAAAGAGAATAAGTGCAGAAAACACTGCTGAAATTATCAGGACCTGCATGCAAGTACAGCATTAGGGCAGAAGGGAGAGTAAATAAACATGCATTTATAAATTTGAAGTTGTCATGTTAAAAAAAAATTGAGTATTTCAATATATAAGCTTTGATTCTATATTAAAATATCACTCAAGCAGCATAAAACTGTAGTAACAGTATTTCCCTGTTACTACAGGAATTAGCCTACTGGTTTCTGACATAATTCAACCTATGCAATAGCGCCACCTGCAGGACAGTTAAGAGTTTTCCTTTGTTTAACCCTTTAAAGCCCGATCCAAGAATAAAACAAAACAGAAAATTACTTTTTTTTGGTTCGAAGTCCTTATTTGGGCTTTTAACGAAATATGTAAAAAGAAAAAACAGAAATACATTTTTGATACTAATAATTTATTACTATGCGATAAGTCAAGATTATTTTTTTGTGTAGTCTTCTGCCCTTTGTTATCAGGTATATCTGATTGTGAACAATAGGATTTTGAGCAAAGTTTTTACCATTAAATTATGCAAAAAGTGTCAGACGCAAAATTTCAGAAACTGTATGTATCAAATATGATACATTTGGCATTATAGGGTTAAAGGGGCTTTAAAAAAAAGGAAAAAGTCCTGAAATCACTGCAAAGTCAATTGTCTTTAAAACATGTGAAATGTTATAAGTCATTATGTAGGAAACTCATCACTACGTTTACTAAATTACCGTATATTGGTTGCTTCAATAGATATGTTTATCACAAATTTGATCAACTTCCCTTACTGGTATTAGAATAATGTGGGCCTTTTTAAATATAAAGGACTTTAACATGCATGTATGTCCATTCCATTTAAACACTCTTCTAAACATCCTCCCCCATGCCATGATTCTTCAAATATTACTACTTTTGTTTCATTTAAAAACATGGATATTTTCAGGAATCTATCCATATCAGCCGTGGCAAATCTCTATAATAATGCACTATAACCACAATAACTCCTGTAAAAACCACTGTGCAGCTATATTATAGTTTTATTTATTGACTGTGCAATATTCTGTGCAATATATGTGAATAGTCATACCACTACCTATATAAGCCATCCGGATAGTACATATTTTTATTTCTCATTTTTATTTTCATTGTGTGCAATACGTGTACACTTGCACCTTAATCCTTATTTATCTTGATATACTGTATATATATATCGTTTATTCTTAATGCACCTTTTCCTCCTTGTTTGCACCTTCTTTGACATCTATGCCAATATGTGACCAGTGAATTTCTCCGCTGTGAGATCAATAAAGCTCATCTAATCTAAATGTTTTCTCCCAAGTTCAACAGAACCTTTGCTCAAGAATACAGTTTGCTTTAAACCAAAAAAAGACATTGATTGGAAGTATGTTTATGCAAATGCCAGAAACCATTTATGCAAAGTAATGGTTAGGCAGTACTGCGCCACCTGCAAAATGGTTTCACTTCTGCTTTAATAAAATGTTTTCCATACACAGACAACGCTGGATTTTTTTTTTGTGGCAACATTTATTTGATCAATAAGACGGAATTGTATCTTTCCATAAACAGCTCAGTTAAATATTAACAAATTTACAGTCATGAGGAATGTAAAAAAAAGAAAACAAAAACACCAAAAAACAAACAATGGTCTTGATAAAAAACCCATTCCCCAGGACCCCCTCCCCCTCCCCCAGGATAACCACCACAGTGGCACTGGAACAAGAAACAGTCCGATTCCCAGTTCCATTGTCACACTCCCTCCTGTTCAGTGCTTCACAGTTCATCCTTCGACTGTCCCTGCCAGGACAAAAAAAATAAATAAAAATGTAAGTTAAATACTGCTCAGTTTACTTTAAGGCGTATTCTGGATATAAACACATGCAAAGACGTCTCACCGTTTCATCTTCATCATCATCTACAATTTCTTCCTCTTCTTTATCTTCAGATCCTTCATCTGCTGGTTCCTCTGGCTCTTCCTCAGGTTCCTCTTCAACCTATCAATAACAATAGTTTTAATAAGTACAGTAAGGCTTTTAGAATAATGCTAATAAAAAATAAACTAGCATGAACTTGCCTGTTCGTCCAGGGGAACATTCATGCTGAGTCGGAGCATGCGCTCTATTCTGTCTCCATAGGCTTTAGTGTCAGCCAGCTGGTATCCTGAGCGCAGTGTAGCCGTTTCAAACAGAACCACTGCAAGATCTGATGCCGTCTGGTCCTCAGCATCAGCCTGCAAAAACGGTGAAAGAGAAACTGAATCAAATATGCAGTTTTATTTCCATCTACATATCTAAATGACGTGCAAAAAGGTTCAGCAATAAATTATTAAAATGATGTAGAATCTTACATTGACTCTGCTGAGCATCTGCTTAACGAGGGGATGTTTGGGATTGATTTCCAGGGTTTTCTTCTGGCTGGCATAATAACTGAAGGACATGAGAAGAAAAGTGAGCCAAAAGAACAACAACAAAAAACAAAACAAAAAAAAAAGTGCAGCAGCTGCATATGAATCAATTCAACTACAGAAAGGATCGCCTTATTAAAAGCTTAAATAGAATCATACATTGGTTTATGCAAACATTTGTACGGAAGAGCATTAGGGCCACTGAAAAAAGAAAAAGTTACCTGATTTTTAAATTTTATTTCAGTTTAGTATGGGGAAAAAAGTCAGAATTCCGACTCTAATCTCAGAATTTTGGATCTTAATGTAGATGGGCACCATGAAGGTAGAGATGTGGGAGCACTCAGCTTCACTGACAAAGATGTGAGTTGTTTGAGGTGGCCAGTGACACATTGGTGGAAAATTACGGAATTAGGCGACTTTTTACATGCCTGAGG